AGGCACGTGGGGCGAGTACGCTATCTTATTGTTATCTTGTATAGGCAGGCTAGTGCAAATCCTAACGCTACGGTAACCTGTGTTGGTACTGTTCCGTTGGCCACCAACGAGCAGCTTAGCTTACGCCGCACTGCCGCTCACTATCCTAACTAATTTTAGTGTGTTCGAGAACCTTCCGCCTACCATCACGCACATGCTGTTTTTAGAAACAAAGGTGTATCTATGATTTCCCGCACGTTTGCTCCCCTCCACAACCTACACTAGACGCGACATGGACCGAGCCAGCCAGGTGCTGGCCCAGAGCCTTCCCGATGGCGTGCCCCAAACATACGCTGCTCGAGCGGAGCAGGGTGGCGTGCCTCTGTCTACTCTCCACCACCGTGCAAAGGGTCGGCGGTCCAGAGAGGAGAAAGCACAAAGTCAACAGTATCTCACTCCCGACGAAGAGAAGGCTGTCGTTAGGTTCTTATTGCTAATGTCGAGCCTTGGGAAGCCTGTACGCATCAAGTTCATACCCTCTCTCGCCTTTAGCGTCGCCCGCCGGCGGTGTGCAGCAAATAGAGCAAGCAAGCCTCCAGGCAAGAACTGGCCGCAGGCCTTCCAGAAGCGTCATCCAGAGCTCAAATCGAGAAGGGTCAAAGCAGTTGACTGGCAGCGTCATGAAAAGAACATCTATCCTAAGATCACGCACTGGTTCGAGGCTATCGGCGAGGTGCTCCAGGACCCAGCTGTCCGTCCTGAGAACGTGTACAACATGGATGAGACTGGCGTCATGCTCAGCATGCTTGGCTCCGTCAAAGTCCTTGTAGGTAAGGACGATCTGCGCGACTATAGGGGAGCAGGCGTCAAGCGAACAACGGTGACCGCAATCGAATGCGTAAACGCTGACGGTAGGTCTCTTCTTCCACTCATCATCTGGCCAGCTTCAACCCATCGCAGCAACTGGACCACCTATCCAACGCCAGGATGGCACTACGCGCACTCCGATAATGGCTACAATGATTTCAAGATCAGCTTGGAGTGGCTCATACGCGTGTTTGATCCTCAGACCAAAGATAGAGCTAACGGAAAACCACGAGTACTAATCTGTGATGGTTTCGGAACGCACGAAACGCTAGAGATCCTGGAGTTCTGCTTTGAGAACAACATTACGCTATGTCGTCTTCCTTCTCACACTTCTCACAAGCTTCAGCCCTGTGATGTTGGGCCTTTTGCGCCCCTGAAGGCCGCTTATCGCGACCAGGTTGACCGACTAAACCGAGGGGGTGTAGACACAGTTGGTAAGGAGCATTTCACGTCACTGTACAGCCCTGCTAGGGAAAGGGCGTTTACTAGGAGGAACATCATGGCTGGATGGAAAGCGACTGGCCTGTTCCCGTTCGAGCCTGGGAAGGTACTACAAGACCTACCAAAGCCTCCAACCCAGTTGCTCGTTCCAGCAGCTGGCGAAGTTGTGGTGCCTTGTCAGCCGGAAGAGGCGCCGCGGACGCCCGTGACACCCACAACGCCCGTCACAACAGAAGCTTTGACATCGCTGCATGAGATGATTAAGTGCGATACTCTTGCACTTGACGAGAGAAGTAAGCAGCGCATTGAGAGACGCGTACAAAAACTCGCAACTGCTGCACGCGTCTCATTCGCCGAACTCTCACTTCTCCAAGACCACAACCGGTTTCTGTCAAAGATTAACGGCGAGATTAGAGCTCGTCGGTCGGCAAAATCGATGATACTGGGAAAGGCCAAGGTGATGACCTGGGAGGCGCTCGAAGAGGCACGAACGAAGCGTGCCGCAAAAGAGGCAGCAGCTACTAAAAAGGGAAAGCGCGTTGGCAAGCGCAAGGAACCCCCGGCTGGAGCAGAAGCAGTAGGGACAAAGGCTGGGGCAACACAGCGAAGCGAAGCGCCAACGCCATGGAGGGCCCCGGTGGCACGGATGGTTGCGGGAGACTGGCGTTGAACAGTGGAGCCATCCTAGACGCTGGAAGTTAAGCTGACCAAGACGACGCGAAGATACAGTTCTAGCAAAGCAGATTACTCTTTGGGTAAATCGTTATTTTATAGTAGAAATCTATGCATACACTGTGTTCGTTTGTTGATTTAGTGTGTCTTTATCAGGGCGTTGTACACTCTCATCTATAAAGCCAAAGGATGGGCGCTGTTATGTATGCCTGGTGTGTGATTTCAGCTGCACCAGTAGCCTAATGCGTCACTGTGGCACGGCGCGACGACCGCCAATCACCACCCTCCTAGTCCAAGCCGAGCTGCACAACTGCTCAGCGCCTGCAGCCTGTCCATGCGTGCTGTCTCCCGGCTGAGGGACGAGTGACTTCAGGCAGGTTATAGTCGTGTCATCACTCGGCACCGCTCCGTTAACTATCTGTCACAGTATCTGCAACTTGTATGTAGCTCTTGCCATGGAGCTCCCATCGCGCCCACATCCACCTGCGCAGCGGGAAGGCAGGCGATCTAGCGAGGCGCAGATCCACCAGAAAGGGTCCCATTTCGGCGCTACCCACGCTGCGAACGGAGCAGTGGTCTTCCAGGGCAACTTTGTCGGTCTTACCTTTAGTAAGTACATCCTTAGCTATAATCGTGTTAGGCTCGATGCTTACTCTATATAGACTCCGCAGTAGCGGCCCGTGCCGACTTCGCAGGCCACTTCGCACACGCTGCGCTCGAGCCCGTCAAGGCGTTTGTCTCACGTAGTTTATTGCACGACCAGATATATGCGCAGCTCGGCCGCGACGCTGTACACAGCGGCACCAGGACGCTCGTGGTATGGGGACTTGGCGGGGCGGGCAAGACCCAGCTAGTGCTAGATTACGTGCAGCAACATCGCGACCAGTACAAGGCGACCTTCTGGATCGAGGCAGGGCGCAAGGAGTCGCTAGAGCGCGACTTTGTGCGCCTATACCAGACGCTGTTCGGCCTACACACGTCTGCTGGGCAAGAGACAGCGATTAGCGTAGAGGATGCCGTGACTGGAGTAAAGAGCTGGTTTGCGGGTCAGCGAGGCCGGTGGCTGATGGTGTTTGATGGCGCCGACACGATTGAGGACGAGGAGGCTGACGGGTACATTAACGTCAAGCACTTTATCCCTAGCACAACGGCACTAGATGTTGTTATAACAAGTCGAAGCAGCACGGCGAAGGACCTAACGCGGCTAGAGGGAGTGCAGGTGGGCGAGATGGAGGCGGGGCAGGCAGCTGAGCTGTTCCAGAAGTACGCAAAGATTCCGCGGTACGACGCGACTGCTAAAGACGAGACTCTGTGCATCGTTAAAGAGCTTGGATGCCTAGCGCTGGCTGTCACGCTCGCTGCTACCTACGTCGGGCGGACGCCGCGGCTGCAGAGCAACATTAAGGCGTACCTATCAGAGTACAAAGAGCGACGGCGGGAGCTGCTCCAGCGCAAGCCTGAGAGCCTGGTGCACCAGTACAGCGAGAGCGTGCTGACGACGTGGGAGACGTCGTATGCAGCCGTTGCCGGACAGTGCGTAGAGGCATCAGTTTTAATGACGATACTATCCTTTCTTAGCTTCGACGATATATATCTCGAGCTTTTCTGTGCTAACGGAGAAGTGAGTAGTATAGGACGAATAGGGGATGAGGCTAAGACGAGCTGGAAGAGCCTAGTCTATCCGCAGCAGACAGTGGATATGTACAAGATCGAAGAGTGCTTTGCAGTGTTGCAGAAGTACTCGCTAGTCTGGTGGAAGGCAGAGCAACAAGGCTATGCGATGCATAAGCTGGTGCATGCTTGGGGCTACGACCGGCTCGGCGCAGAAGAGCAAGGCTGGTACAGCCAGGCAGCGTTTGGGCTCGTGGTGGAGGCAATAGAGAGGTGTAGTCGCGCGCCAGAAGACAAGCTACGGCTTGTGCCGCACGTGATGGGGAGCTTTATAGCACTAACTAGAACGCATGATAAGACAAACGGGATTACAGAAGATGTGATAGACGAGATAGTAGGTGTGGGGGGATTTACGACAGACCTAGGGCGATGGCTAGAAACGCGTGCAGTTGAGGAGTATGTGCTAGAGAAGAGAAGGCGGATCCTTGGAGAAGAGCACCCTGACACCATCTCGGCGATGAACAACCTCGCCAACACGCTCGGAGAGCAAGGCCAGCTAGACGAGGCAGCTAAGATGAAGAAAGAGGTGCTAGAGAAG